GATTTGCCAAAGGTTTGGGGCTTGGGGCAACATATTTTACAGTCTTTTGCTGTTATGCCCTTCTGCTATGGTACGGTGGGTATCTCGTTCGGCACCATTTCACAAACGGAGGCCTTGCAATAGCTACAATGTTTGCCGTCATGATTGGTGGACTGTAAGCAAACTATATATTATGAATTATCGCCATTAATTGATAGAATGATATAATCTCGGCTTAAAAATGATGCAAATCTTGTTTCTTTTTTTTTTTTTTTGATAGTGCACTCGGGCAATCTGCTCCGAGTATGGCAGCCTTCGCAAAGGCGCGAGTGGCGGCCGCGAAAATATTCCGAATTATCGACCACAAGCCGAGTGTCGAGAGAAATAACGAGTCAGGTTTGGAGTTGGAGTCCATAACCGGACAATTGGAGCTTAAGAATGTGGACTTTTGCTATCCCTCGAGGCCCGAGACTCAAATACTGAAAGATTTCTCTCTCACTGTCCCTGCTGGAAAGACGATAGCCCTAGTTGGGAGTAGTGGCTCGGGTAAAAGTACGGTTGTGTCCCTCATCGAGAGATTTTACGATCCCACTTCAGGTTATTTCACGTTCGATAATTTTCTTGATTATGTAGTCCAATGATTTTCTTGATTATGTATGAAATAGTCTTCGTTAATAAACATGTCAGGGCAAGTGCTGTTAGATGGTCATGACATAAAGGCATTGAAGTTGAGATGGTTGAGGCAGCAAATAGGGCTGGTAAGCCAAGAGCCTGCATTATTCGCCACCACCATTAAAGAGAACATACTCTTGGGAAGGCCCGATGCTAGTTTGGTCGAAATTGAAGAGGCTGCTCGAGTAGCTAACGCGCATTCGTTCATCGTCAAGCTTTCAGATGGCTATGACACTCAGGTTAGCTAGCTAGCTAGCTCATTTTATCAATACAAACACATTTTCTTTTGGAGTAAATACTGGTTAAATATTATTAATTTTTAGTGTCCCAAGGATTTTACTAGTCAACAGAACTAGTGTGAGGAGATGTTTTGTTGATGCATTTAAATAATGAAGGTAACATGGTTTGAGTGAACAATGCATGTGCCAAGTGCTTATTCAGTTCCCTTTCTCACATGTAAAAACAAGAAATTCTCAATCTGTGTGGGGGGAGATGGACCATAAGTTGAAAAACACTAGACAAAAGAAATCATGCCTACCCTGCTGCTAACATTTATGGAGAGCTCATTGAATTTTCCCTTAACATGGATTTTAGCTAAATTACAAAACTTTCATTAATTTATTAAAAACAACAGTTAATCTAAAAAAAAAAATTACAGGTCGGCGAGAGGGGTCTCCAGCTGTCGGGCGGGCAGAAGCAGAGAATCGCCATTGCACGAGCCATGCTCAAGAACCCGGCCATCCTTCTGTTAGACGAGGCCACGAGCGCTTTAGATTCCGAATCAGAAAAGCTCGTTCAGGAAGCCCTCGACCGATTCATGATCGGTAGAACAACTCTCGTAATCGCCCACCGTCTCTCCACCATCCGAAAAGCTGATCTCGTGGCCGTCTTGCAGCAGGGCAGCGTTTTCGAGCTCGGGACCCACGATGACCTCATCGCCCGAGGCGAAAACAGCCTCTACGCAAAGCTCATCCGAATGCAAGAGGCCGCTCACGAGGCTGCTGTCAACAATGCTCGAAAAAGCAGTGCAAGGTATATACACATATATATAATTGAGATAATTTTATATATGGATAATGAGAAACTTATAGAAAAATTTACACGCAGGCCGTCGAGCGCGAGAAACTCGGTGAGCTCGCCGATAATCACCCGGAACTCGTCTTACGGCCGTTCGCCTTACTCGAGGAGGCTCTCCGACTTCTCGACTTCCGACTTTAGCCTCTCGTTGGAAGGCGGCTACCCGAGCTACCGACACGAGAGGCTCGCGTTCAAGGAGCAGGCGAGCTCTTTCTGGCGGCTCGTCAAGATGAACTCCCCCGAGTGGGCCCACGCACTTCTCGGTTCTGTGGGGTCCGTCGTCTGCGGCTCCCTCAGCGCGTTCTTCGCCTACGTCCTCAGCGCCGTCCTCAGCGTGTACTACAACCCGGACCACGCGTACATGATTGAACAAATCGCGAAATATTGCTATCTGTTGATAGGCGTTTCGTCGGCTGCACTAATTTTCAACACGCTGCAGCATTATTTCTGGGATACGGTTGGGGAGAATCTGACGAGGCGAGTTCGGGAGAAGATGTTGGAGGCCGTGCTTAGAAACGAGATGGCGTGGTTCGACATGGAGGAGAACGAGAGCTCGAGGGTGGCCGCCAGGCTAGCGCTCGACGCTAATAACGTTCGCTCGGCCATCGGTGATCGGATCTCCGTCATCATGCAGAACTCGGCGCTCATGCTCGTGGCTTGCACTGCCGGGTTCGTTCTGCAGTGGCGGCTTGCCCTCGTGCTCATCGGCGTGTTCCCTGTCGTGGTTGCCGCCACCGTTTTGCAGGTAATTTTCGGGTTTTACGTATAATAATAACATAAACACTCAAAACCTAACCATTATATACTCAAACAATTCGAAATATACATGATCAGAAAATGTTCATGAATGGATTCTCCGGCGACCTAGAAGCCGCGCACGCTAAAGCCACCCAACTCGCCGGCGAGGCCGTGTCCAACCTCCGCACGGTTGCCGCCTTCAACTCGGAGCCGAAGATAGCTGCACTCTTCACCTCGAGCCTTCGTTCACCCCTTCATCGTGCTTTTTGGAAAGGCCAAATCGCGGGTAGCGGCTATGGCCTCGCCCAATTCGCCCTCTACGCCTCCTACGCGCTCGGTCTCTGGTACGCCTCGTGGCTCGTCCGCCACGGACTCTCCGACTTTTCCCGCACAATCCGCGTCTTTATGGTCCTCATGGTCTCCGCCAACGGCGCCGCCGAGACGCTCACCCTCGCCCCCGACTTCATCAAAGGCGGCCGCGCCATGCGTTCCGTCTTCGCCCTTCTCGACCGGACCACAGAAATCGAGCCCGACGACCCATCCGCCGCCCCCGCACCCGACCGCCTCCGCGGCGAGGTCGAGCTCAAGCACGTCGACTTCGCGTACCCTTCCCGGCCCGACTCTCCCATCTTCCGCGACCTCACCCTCCGGGCCAGGGCCGGGCGGACTCTGGCCCTCGTGGGCCCGAGCGGGTGCGGGAAAAGCTCCGTCGTCGCTCTGGTTCAGAGATTCTATGAGCCCTCGTCCGGGCGTGTGACGATCGACGGGAAGGACGTCCGGAAGTACAACCTCCGGTCGCTCAGGCGCCACGTGGCAGTGGTCCCGCAAGAGCCGTGCCTCTTCTCGACCACGATCTACGAGAACATAGCGTACGGTCGAGTGGAGTCGGCCACCGAGGCAGAGATCGTCGAGGCCGCGACATTGGCGAACGCGCACAAGTTCGTGTCGTCGTTGCCCTATGGGTACAAGACGCACGTGGGGGAGCGCGGGGTACAGCTGTCGGGGGGGCAGAAGCAGAGGATCGCGCTAGCCCGAGCCTTTTTGCGGAAGGCAGAGATTATGGTGTTAGACGAGGCGACGAGCGCGTTGGATGCGGAGTCGGAGAGGTGTGTGCAGGAGGCGCTCGAGAAAGCGTGCGCGGGTCGGACGGCGATTGTGGTGGCGCACAGGCTTTCGACGATTAGGAACGCGCACATGATTGCGGTGATGGACGAGGGGAAGGTGGTGGAGCAAGGGTCACACGCGCACTTGATGAAGAACTATCCGGACGGGATTTACGCGCGCATGATACATCTGCAGAGACTGACGAGCGGGCGCGGTGGAAATGGGGTTAGCGGGTCGGGTACGAGTTCGTCCTCCAGTTTCGGGTCGTGATTTGATGAGAGACCGATGTTTTGGAGATTGGAGTAATGTTTTTTTCTTTTTTTTTTTAAGTATTTGTTTATATTTTTGGTATAGTGTAGTAGTTATTTGGGATGATTATGTGATTGATTGTTGTTATATACCTCACGAATTTCTTCGCTCTATCGTTGTCAATAGAAGTTCTGAATTTCAAAATGCACACGTGAATTCGAGCTAATTCTTGTGAGATTGAAGGGTTAGTGACTTTATCAAGTTTTTATTGTTGGATTACGCACATTCATATACTGATATACACATGAAGATGTAGGAATGAGGTTTTAATAATGTGTATAATGAATACGATTGAGAAGAACATAAAAGAGGAAGTGGGACATCATAATTGGCCAACTTTCACGTGGTGGAGGCAAAATTGTGAAAGGAAAGTTTCCATGAGTGAAACAAGACAAAGGGACATAATAAGACCTCATTATGGAAAGGTGTTAGTAACTCATGAGAGTGTTGGGTGAGTGTGTGCTGGAAAAAAAAGAAAAAGAGAAAAAACGGAGGAATCGAATTATCGAAGTTGGGGAAGATGACAGAAGCACGATGAACTCTGTATGATGATAATAGTGTCTTTTAGCAGAAGTGCACGATGGACTCTGTATGATGATAATAATGTCTTTTAGCATTTTGTGTCTTTGCGTAGATGGCTATGGGGTCCATGTTGTTCTCTCTTTACTTAGTATTTTTGTTTGGCTATCAATTTTTCTCCATTTATAAGATTTTTCAAATATCCAAAGCTTCTGGTGAGCTATCATTGTAATGCCTTCATTTCAACCGCATTAGTTATCTGTAAACCAACTGAACCAAACTAAAACTCCTAATTGGTAAAAGCTTGTTGCAGCTCGTTTAATAACTTGTTAAAATAAATGAGCAAAACTCAACAAGCTCGTTTAATAAGGCTTGGTAAAATAAATGAACCAAACCTCGAGCACGCGCTCAATAAAGGGCTACTGCCAGCCATTCAAGAGAGCTCCCCTAATCTTAAATTTTAACTTTGTTAAGTGTAAATATATAAATTAAATATGTTTGGCTCGTCAGCAACAAACAACATTCCCTACTCGGCTACTTATTTGATCAAGGATATAGGAAGACAATTCAGAGGTAACTAAGGAAAATTATCCTAACCTGTNAAAAGAAAGCCTTAGTACAATTTTACAGAATTTCATGAATTAATTTTTCCAAAGTCTTCATCTTATAAATGCACAGCCTAAAAAGAAACCTACACTGACTACAGAATACGAATCTATCTTATGGTCCAAACAAATCCAATGAGCCACCTAATAAAAAGCTAAAAACACAATTGAGCTAACAGGGCCGCTACAGGTCCTAACCAAGACACGGTTAGGTGAGTGTAGCCGATGTCACTACTTAAGCCCAGATGCAATACGAATTTCAAAACAAACAACTGAAATCCATATAAGCCCAGTCCCATAGTCCTATTTCATTTACTTACATACTTATTTTGGCAATAGAATTAGAAACCACCAAATTTTGTGCCTTTTCATTGTGAAACAACCAAATCAATGTCTCTCATAACAGAAACAATATCTTTAGAATGTAACAGATACAACTGAACAAAATAGAGCTACAGCTAGCAAACCTCATATGAGATCAGTAAAGGATTGTCTTAGCCGCTACAAAACTTTGTCATGGAAAATCAACTCATAAAACCCCTGTAGGAATCTCTTGAAGATATCGATATCAGCCCGTAAGCAAAAATCACGGTCTACCATAAACTTAACTTTACATTGACATTAACTTTGGACCATTGTCAGGCATACCCATCCCAGCAGCTACCTCAGCATCCAATTGGGTGTGTGGGGCAGGTCCCATCATTAGCTTCAAACTGTATGAAATTTGAGATTATTATAAAACTCTAGTTGGATAGGTTAACACATGCATCATCAATATGACTGATTGGAAATTATAATTTCTCAACAATTTTACACATCTGAGTCCAATAAGTAAGGTCCTTCAGAAACTTGAATAATATTATAAGTAGAATGCCGCTCAAAGTTCTGGATCCAAAACTTGACACTCAATATTTTATTCTTTAACAGCACAGAATAAAACATTTGATCTCAACTGTTATAGTATAATGTATTCCTATGTCTAAGGTAATTCAGAATTATCGGTAGCTCATAGATGATCGAGAAGTCAGAGACTTAGCCAAGAAATATACAGGCATATTATCATTAGTTTGTATAAAATAGATATGAACTGAATTACTTCATATGGATAAACCCATATTTCCACTTAATTCCTGTGAACAAAGTATAAGTTAGGGTCCCCTTTATCTCTTTTCACTTTACAATTTCAGCTACTCAAAAACCAATCCTCAAATTTCCCAGCCACTGAAGTTCATGAAAAACTCAATCTTGATACGAATTTATTACTTTAATACTTCAATATGTTTTCGCTTTGATAAACCATGATCTAGAATAAATTACAACTCATCATCCTTCAAACTATAACTCAATATCTCTCAAACTACTAAAAACTTCAACAAACAAACAGAAAAATAAAAAATAATGACAAGTTACAATTACAAGAACAATAGGTTTTTGGTTAGGCCAACATACTCATTCCACAAATATGCATACTTTTTATCAGAAGATGTCACACTTAAAAAAAAAATACAAACAAAACTATGACATTTTGATACAAGTATGCATTTTGTTCACCCATATGACTCATCGACCCGCCACACTCCACGGTTAGGTGAACTCACACAACAGAGGAAATAACAATAGAGACGTAAGGATGTAGTAGTAAAAGAGTAAAATTACCGCTTCTTATGTCGTTTGGTCTTGAAGTGTTCATCCCTCACCGTCACATTAGCAAAATATCGACTGAAATACACGCGAAAAAACCCCATCTGAGCTAAAGAGCAAAAACGAACACGAAAATTTCCAAGAAAAAAAAAAAAGAACTAATCGACAAATGCATGAATTGGCAAATTACTCGCAGTGCAAACAATAATACTGGCCCATCCCAGGAAGGTCTTCATCTACGGGCAAGGATTTACTCTTCCCCTCCACTTTCTGAAGCTCATCATAAACAGCATCGTCGCGTAAACAATCACCAGTCAAGGAAAAACAAAGCATGATTTGGAACAATTACAAAGAAATAAAAGCACTGATAAATATCTACATAAACACAATAAAAAGGATATCCTTGAGAAGAAATTTGGTGCGCCTAGCGGTTTTATGCGAGTATCGGCGCTTTTTCACGCTTCTGTGAGGGCACTTTCCGCCCATTGCCCACGCAAATTATGAAAATCTGATGTTCTGATTTGGTTTGATTGAAAATTCAGAAACCCTAGAATTAAGACTGCGAAAAGACGGTTAGCTGAGGTTTAACCTCTATGTATCTCGTTAACGTGATTTTGGAGCATAAATTATTATTGGGCCGTAATTTCAAAATTGCATAGATTCTTATTGGGCCGTATTTTCAAACGTATAGGCCTAGATGATTGTTATTAGCCCATGGTTTCAGTATTATGTTTCTATGTTTTTTAAGTCTAAACTGTTCAGTGTTTGCCACGCGTCATAATTTCATTTTCTTTTTGACTATTTTACATGTTTACCGTATTTTTTGTATTTAAAAAAAACGACATTTAAAATAAAATTATACATAAATTATTTATAAATTTTAAATAAACCAAAAAATAATGTAATTTAAAAATAAATAACAAAAATAAGCCAAAAATCAACTATACATAACTATAAAAGTTAGTATATTTGTAATTAAAATAAAAGTTCAGTAAATGTAAAAAAAAAATATGAGATTGAAGATAAAAGGTGTCATTTTCTCTATTTTTATAGTGTGGTAAGAAGAAATCTAAAAACGACAGAGTTGATTTCAAGAAGATGAAAATTATTTTCAGAAGAATTAGTACATAATTAATTAACAATGTAAAATAAGAAATAAGAAAATCCTCCATATATATAAATATATAATTTCTCATGGTTAGCATCTGATACTTCGTAATTCTATGTGTCGAATTATTGTGCTACATAATCAAGTTTTGTTACTTTGGAGGACTTTATATCTCTATGTCAAATTTTGTTGCTCCATAGTTGGTAGATTTGGCTATTAGGATTTTAATTAAAAATTATAAAACACTTGATCAACTTAAATTATAAATATATTTTAAAACTTAATAATCTTTTTATTTGTTATCGATTTTTTTTATATTATATATCAAATTAATTATCTTTTTACGATTTTCTCGATATCATGCTTAATAATTTAAATGAAAATATCTATTTATTTTTTATTTTTAATTATAAAATTTTCAATTAATACCCGTATAATACACATATGATGTAGAACGGTTGCGTAATTTAATTTTAAAAAGTAAATTTGGTTGATTATTTATAGACAGTCAGTGCTCTATCACTCTTAGGCACTCTTGGGAGAGAGATATTGTCCTAATTAATGTCCTCAAATTAAGGAAAATGTCTTCTCCATGTCCATTTGTGAAATAAGAAAGTTGTCTTTCTGAAGTTAAATGTTCATTCGCTCACGAACACTCAATGAAGTTTTGAATAATGATCGTTGTAACAATCCTTTATTGAGTCTTCGATCCAGCATATATACAATCTTCTCAAAGGTAAAGAGTTTTTCTCATTTTCCATGTGATGCCTTCCTTCCTTCCTTGTGAGATAACATTCTTCACAACTTGGACACGATCTCATATATTGAGGCTGATATCTCCTCATCTCGATCAACTTCTCTTTTCCTTTAGACGTATAATTGCTCTACAAATAAACATCTCTCTATTTATAAATTAAATTAACCATAGACATTTATTAAATTAACCACACATATTGTCACAAATTCACATGTTCTAGTGGCTATAATTCAATCCATAGATTACACCCATAGTCAATGTTATTGGGGGCATAATCGTCTTATGCTAGCTTTTGATTTTCAATGCTCCTATTCTAAGTGACATGACTGTACCCGAAGACCTTATTAAAATGCCATTTAGGTAAGTTTTTTTCTCCCCACATAAATTGTAGACATTAGTGACATTAAGTCTTTATATTAATAACTAGTTAAAATATAAATCCCATTGTACATGGTTCTTAACCCGATTGATATGAGACCAGCAACTCAGGTTAGGTCATCCATCCAACCATATAGTGTCTAATCTTCCCTAACCATATTTTCCAGAATATCTCTATATTTTATAACATCCAATTAGTTTTTTTTTTTTTTTAAATGTAATATTTAATGCAGTTAAGTCGTAAGGTACTTTGTATTATGTATTCAACCATTAATCATGCTATCCAATTAGTTATCGTTCGCTATATACTACGACGGTTGCCTCCAATTTTATTCTCTTTTCAAAACCATTATTCACTTCGTATTAGCGCTGACTGTAACTTCTGTTTTTTTCAGAAGGAAAAACAAGAGGAAAAGAAAAAACCCTCTATGGGTGAGGTAATTGAATTTTTTTCTTTTCAGTACCTTTTAATTAATCGTCCATTTGTTAGATATAATTAAAAATACACAGTTTTCAGGCAAGCAATTCGTGAAATTCTGATAATATTTTCCGGTTTTTTCGCAAAATCATTTTTGTCCTCTATCTGTCTACACTTTTTCCAGAAAGACGGAGGTAATAATAAGGCGGCGGACGGCGGAGGAAAGAAGGATGATGGGCCGATCACCGCCGTGTTGAGGCTCGACTTGCACTGCGAAGGCTGCGCCAAGAAAGTCAAACGGGCGGTTAGCCATTTCGAAGGTAACTACCAATTTTTTTGTTTTAAATTATTTTGGATNTTTTATCTATAAATTGATTAAGTCACATAAATTTATATCATATTTGTAGTTTTTGTGATATGTTCTTACTTTTCAATTAGTTTGAATCATAAATTTCTCTACAAAAAAAATACAGTGGTTCAATTGATTAACTCTAGTCTGGTGGTTGCAAGCAAATTACGTGTAAAGGTTTTATTTTTTAATAGTAACAGCATATCAACGTAATATATAGAAAGTTGATAGATATATGATAATTTTTAATTACCAATTTTGAAAACTAAATTCCGTATTTGGACACGGTGCACACTGTATCAATACCTTTCCTTGCTTTTGCCGCTAACTTGAAACATCCAAAGAGGACTTTTCAATCTCCAAGAAAACAATATCAAAGTAGACAGTTCTTTATTTGTAGCTATATTTTAATATATAATTTTAAATGAAAATACCAAACTAAAAAAACAACTAACTAAATATATAATACTTCATAAAATATATGCCTTTTTGTTATTGAAGAAAGACAAATCAATCCGTTTATCGATAACTTGATTTATTATCATAATTTATGTTTTTAGATATTGATTTGTTATCATAATTTATGTTTTTAGATATTGCAAATTCTTGTGGGGTGGTCTAACTATTTGACCATATTTATTTTCAAAAAATGCATATTTTATGTTATAAAATATTATATTTATTTATGTTGTATTTTAGAGTGACATGCATTTCAATTTAAAAATATAAATATATATTAAAATTATGATTGATTTATCCGTCCGTTTGATCTAAACAAGGGACCGATTGTTTACATATTTCAATCGAGTCCCCAAATATATATATATATATATATATATATATATATAAAAAGGTAATGCAGCTACTTCTAATTTCCTCCACAAATAAAATTCACAAAGATATTTTTATCAATAAAAATCAGCTTAGCTTAAATAGGGGACCTAAAATCAAGTTGCGCGCGTGGTCCTACTTTTCCTGTGAAGGTGTGGAGAAAGTAAAAGCTGAGTGCGCTTCCAACAAGTTGACCGTGACCGGCGATGTGGACCCCACGTGGCTCTGCGAGCGAGTCCAATACAAGACCAAGAAGAAGGTGGACCTCATCTCCCCTCAGCCCAAAAAGGACGGCGGCGCCGCCGGCGCCGGCAACAAGGCCGGCGAGAAATCAGACAAGAAAGCCGCCGAGGAAAAAAAGCCTGATGATAATAAGAAACCCAAAGTGGTAAAATACATTTTGTCTCTCCACTTTATTTTGAACTAAATTAGGTTGCTATTGGACAAATATATATATTTTTGTTTACAAATCAAAATTTATCTCATCAAAATAATTTTTTCACAAAAATACTATTAATATAATCATATTTTTGCTCTAAAACTCCACTAACGCGACAAAAAAATAAAAAATATATTTTTCAAAAGAAATAGTACTATCCATCCAATTTTATTATTATATTTTTATCTCATATATATTCACAATTTCAATCTAGCTCACTTATTTTAAAAAGCTTTATAGGTTTTTACTTTTTCATCTCAGTTTTTTTAAAATAGATTAAATTTTGAAATTAAAAAATTTTCAGAAAAAATCTTACACCCAATCATACCATTCAATTATATAATATAAAATTATAAAATACAATTTTTAATCATATTTCAGCCTGCGGTTAGCACAGTGGTAATGAAAATCAGATTGCACTGTGATGGTTGCGCGCATAAAATAAAGCGGGTGGTCTTGAAGAACATTGATGGTGAGTTGGTCCGTCTGCATACTTTAAATTATTTACCAATAATTATAGATTTTTTTTTTTTTTAAGTCGGCACATAAATATTTACAATAATTACATCATCTATAAGTTAGGCGTGCGGCATGACCTTGTTGTATGTTAACTTATTCATCAAATTATTTGGTAGCCGGTGAAGTTGACTATGTAACCTAGATATCATTAATGTTCTTAATTATCCCATCAAATGTTTATGGGAAATATTTGTTAGGTCAATATAATGTTAATTTATTTTGATGAAGGAAACCTAATTAAATTTCTTTTTTTGTGACAATGGATAACTATATATGCATATAGATAAACATTTTAGGTCATTTATTTTTATAGCTTATGTAATTTATGTTAAAAATAAGAATTGTTCGATAAATTTTATGAATATAAGTATTTTAGGATAATTTAGCATCAATTATGTTAATCAATCATGTCATAAATTAATTTATTTCTCGACAGGGGTCAATTCGATAAAAATTGATTTCGACAAGGATTTGGTCACGGTCACGGGCACCATGGACGTGAAGGAACTAACGGCTTATTTGCAAGAAAAGCTCAAACGAAGCGTAGAAATTGTTCTTCCAAAAAAAGATACAGATAAGAAAAAAACCGACGGTGATTTAAATAAAAAGCCTGATTTTGCCGCCAAGGAATCGAAACCTGCCGCCACCGGAGAAGGAAGCAAGGCCAACGAGGGTACCAAATCGGAGGTCAACAAATCGGAGTACAATAGCTTTAGTCCACTGAAGCACTATGCCATGCCAATGTACAATCAAAGTTATGCCAATCAACATTACAATGGCTTGGATGTTCACTATCCTCATGCATGGTTATGCTATCCATGGTTATAGTAATTTTAACTACGGTTATCCTCATATGGGTTACGTGGTGCAGTACTTGCAAGGGCCACCACCGCCTCCACCAACGTACCTGAACATAAACGATCGAGTGTTCAGCGATGAAAACCCTAATGGATGCTCTGTAATGTGAATGAGAATATATCCGAGCATTTGAAGTCATTATGAATTTTCTTGTTTTTCAACATATACGTAAAAACTATTAAGTTAGGAAGATGAGAGAAGTTTTAAAGAGCGAATCCACAACGTGTAACATGTGTGTAATAGAACAAAAACAGTTCTATGTACATATCGATACATATCCATATATTTTTTATCCATTAATTAATTAAAAAATTCTTTGTCAATCATGTTAATATTATCTCGTTCTCTTCTCAATATTTTTTAAATTTTCACACTTTTTTAATAAAATTTACTATTCATCCACCAATTATATTAATTATAACCAACAATAACTACATTTAAGTATGTGTACTTTACATATTCTAAATATGCTATTTTNTGAAAATACAGTGAAGTAAAAGAATAGTGTTAGTGTTAGGAAATAATAACATTATCAGAATTGTTTTTCCTAGTTGTTAACTTGTTCATCTATTCTAATCTTTGTGTGACTCTGTCTTCTATAATGACAGTCGTGACGTGAGGATTAGCCCATGGTTAGAAGGATCCATAAAATAAATGTGTTACGAATCAATTATTTATATGTATTAGCACTAAGTAAGCCAAATTAAAATGTCAAGTAATAGCGTAATTTTCTATAATGCAACAATATTGTTGTATTGTATTTATTTAGAATTTTGTTCGCGCAAGGTTATCAATCAAAATTTAAAATGTCAAGTAATAGCGTAATTTTGTATATTATAAAAATTATATAAACAACCGGAAAAAAATATTATATACTTGCTTGCAGATGTATTACAATTTTGATTAAGCAAGTTATGTCTGAAGAGTGACTATTAAATTAAACTTGTGAATCAGGACTTATCAAGTGTATGTAGCCTGACTCAGCCCTGAATAGGACCAACTAATTTTTTTGGGTCAACATGACATCTCATGGCATGGATGCATCTAGAATCTCCTATTATTTTAGTGGAGGTAATCTAAAAATTTCTATATATATATAAAAATATTAGATTATTTTTAAAATAGTAATTATTTTGTAAAAAAATTATTTACTTTATCTAGAAATCAATCAATCAATATATGATATAGAGTGGACGAATTTATTTTTGGTATTTGATAGTCGTTTCTATGAGAAATAAATAAATTAATATATGGTATAAAGTGGCCGATTTTATTTTGGTTATTTGATGACTGTTTTTTTTTTTGTAGGGAATTTTNCACATGTGCAAGCTAATATATATATATATTTTTTTTTTGCGTGGGTCTCAATTTTTATTTCAAATTGTTACATGAAATTACCATAATGAAATTATTGTAATGCAGACAAAATAATATTAACGAATATATTGATATAATGTGTGTGTCTCGATTTTTTTTTATAGAAATGCTCTGCTCAATTTTATATTTGCATAATCAGTGAACCTCGATTTAATTCATTTGTTGTTACGACATTTAAATAATTTTTATGTGAAATGAGTTGTTCAATTTTTTAAGCATGATAAAGAGTGTTTCAATTTTTTTCGTATAAAAATCCTGAACAATAATAAGACCAATTATTTTAAAATAAATGCGTGTCACTATTTTTTTAAGCTTTGGATTTGATATTTTTGGTATGAGAAAGCTGAAGAATAATATGACCGATATTTTTTTGTATAAATAATTGGAATGGAAGACAAAATTCTAATGAGATCTTATAAAAATGGCATGGTATATCGTGTTAAGCATTTTTGTAACAAAAAACTTTCAAAATTGCCAAATTGATGAAACAACCAAAAAAATACGTAAGACCTACATAAAAAAAATCAATATTGTTATTTGATTTAATATACCTAATATAATAAATTTATTAATTGATTAGCAAATAACCAAAATACAATTTCCAAAAAATCTAAAAATTAAATATTATATAAACACATTGCAAATCATCAATTGATTAATTTGCAATATATAAATAAACAAATACAAAAAAAAATATATAATAGCATCATATTACCAAAAGAAAAACACGTGGGGATTACATAGAATAAATCTTTGCCATTACAAAATAGAATAAATTATTTGCACATGTTTAAAAAGTGATATGAATCTAGGCGATTTATTGCGTTTGCTAAAATATTTTTGTATCAAATATTTACAGAATGGGTCTAAAATATACTTTGTTCTTCTTTTCCTATAAATTCAGTGTAAATCGATATATGGTATAAAGTGGGCGAATTTATTTAAGTTATTTGATGACTGCTTTTTTTTTTTCTCTAAGAAATTTGCCGAAAAATTAATCAATATATGGTATACTTTTTGTCTAAAATGTGCATGCTAATATATTTTTTATTTGCGTAGGTCTCAATTTTTATTTGAATTTTTTGTATGAAATTACCATAGTGAAATTATCGTAACGGCGATAAAATAATATGAACGAATATTTTGATATAATGTGTGTCTCGATGTTTTTTTAATAGAAAATGTTCTGGCCAGTTTATTATTTGTATAATCAGTGGGTTTCGAATTAATTCATTTTTTGTTACGACATTTCAAATAATTTTTTGTGTGAAATGCTCATGATAACCTGCAATACGCCAGGAAGGGGGTCCGGATGAAAGACTCTCCGACACTCAAGTCAGAACTCGCTCAAACTGTGAATACGTAGTATATAGAATAGCGTGGAATTGTGTGTGTGTGTTGTGTAAATCGAGGGAACCTGTTGTCCTTATGTAGGACTATACACCTCCAAACCGAAGTGTGTTTTTTTAGGGAAGAGATTGATTGGTCGGAAAAAGTGTGTATTTTTATATATTTATTAGCGTATTTTCATATGCTTAATTTTGTCGCACTTATATATTTTTCGACTTATTTATTTCTTTAGATGGATTCTGGTGCTTTGATATATTTATGTTTTATTTTTAGGATATTGGAGTGTTTTTATGGATGACGAGATGTCGAAGGAAGGTTGAAGCAGACAGTACGGGGGAGCCCCATACTCTGCTGCGGACACAGCTGATACCCCACCAGCCTAATTTTTGGCTTATTTGTGCCATGTGCGAAAATTAAGCCCAAGTGAAGACTTTACTAGCCCAATATTTGAATATAATTGGTGCTTGGGGAATAGGAGATGGGCTTATAATTAATGGAGATATAGAAGGCCTACTTGGGGTTTATTTTCAATTGAGTGACCCATTATAATTGAAAAAGTCCCTCACGCAGCAGACACATTAAAAGGAAAGAATTTTTCACGCAAGCAGCCATAAAAAGTCGCCACACGCCACCAACAGAGGATTGAATTTGCGCAGCAACAAAGAGAACAAACGCAAGCAGATGGGGAATCCGACGGAAGCGGAGGGAGACCGCACCCGCACACGAAAAGGGATAATTTTATTCTCTTTCTTTTGTTTTTATTTATTATGTTAGAGTAGTTTTTATTTCTAGTTCCGGGGAAGTCGAACCCTACTATTGACGATGTTTGATTAATTTTTATGGTTGATGATTTCAATATCTTTTTGGAATTGTTTGTGTTATTTTGAATAATTAATCATGATGTGTTGAGTCTTATTTAGATTGATCACCTAGATTAGGCTTTTCATATCTACAGCTGAATTAGACATTCAATTCGTAATTGTTGTTGTGTTTAGTTCATTAGAGGCTACCGGAAGACGGTAACTACCGGGGATAACACGGTCTATTTAAGTGAACGAAAGTTCACTACTTAGTCTAGCCTATTTTTCTAATTCGTAAAGCGGCTAATTGTATTAAATCTTGAAAACGTTTTTCTGGACTGTACAAGAAGTCAGGTTTAATCGTATAGCGTCTCGCTGTTAAATTAAAAATAAGGAAAAATTCGGGTAACAGATCGTGTCGTTACCTAGGGCTAGTAATTCCATAAGATAGCGAGATTTGATACTAAAGTTGATTAGACGAGTCGGTCGAGTGTGTAGACGGAACCGTGAATTAGAAAGTTCTCTTCATTTATTATTTTATTTTTATTTTCGTTGTTTAGATTTTATTTGCTTCATTAGGATTTTAGTTAGTTTAGTAATTAATTCAAAATCCCCCCTCTTTTATTATTTTTATAATTCAATTAATACGAGAAAATTCACGATTTGATTCACACTCCATGTGGGATCGACCCTTGCTCACTACTACTACTTGTTGGTAGAAGTCGGTTAAGGAAAATATAAATTATAATTTTGCCGCGTTGCGACGCGCGGTCAGAGATCCATCCGAATTCTGCTTCCTAACTAACCACATCTTTATCCTGTCAAGAGTCTTTGAGCGAGTGATTCTTTCCTTCTTACTTGGATTCTTCCCGTTTACTGGTTCAGCCCGAGGATCCTTAGGTAGTGAACCCGACCTCCCATCCTGTCTGTTATGACCATTCTGAGGATATCCTTGACCTTGTTCGGAGGTCTAACCGACCTCACCTTTAGGTCCAACTCATCCCCAAAAATTCGATCAACTGTTTTCGCTTGGTTTAATTCAGTTTCGACCGATTGAACACCTTTATATTATATAAGGTATACATTAACTTATATGCTTGTCTAAGTAGGTATAAACTATGCGGTTTTGTTATGAAGCCAACAGTTGACTCTATAGTGAAACCAACTTTCTATATACAACAAATAAACCTACCATATTAATAAAATTATATTAGTGTTATTTAAGTAATCAGATAATATGGTAGGTTTACTTGTTATATATAGAAGGTTGGCTCCACTATGAAGCCAACTGTTGGCTTCCTAGCAAAACCGATAAACTATGGTTATCACAACACACTAATAAATTAATAAACCAAAACACCACTGAACACCTCACCGCTGCATGAACCATCTCCAAATTTCCACCAAAATCCATAGTAAAATCGATTTCTTGAGAAACAATTCTCAGCTGAAAGAGACTGCGACAACCAGGAAATGGAAAGGGACCAATAAAATCCAATCCGTTTTTTTTTTCACCCAAAAAAGAGAGAAAAATGCTAGTCTTCGTGGTGGATGATGATTCTCCGTTTATCTTCATCTCCTACTGCTTAATTTTCTTCTTTTTCTTCATATTTTTCATCAGGTTCGTCTTCGTCATCTTCTTCCTCCTCCTCCTCCTCCTCCTCTGCCACGACGTTGTTCACCTGCTATTCTCTCTCGGCTGTCCGCCTTGAGCTCGGCGGGGCCTCGGCTGAGTGCACGCCAAGTGTTTGATCAGATGACTCTGCCAGAGCCGTGAAAATGGTAGAGTATGTGTCGTTTTCCTATTATGCCCTTCGTTCTTGTGACGGTCAGTTAGGGAGATATACATATTATCTTTGTATAGTTTGTGGAAAACTACTTTTCTTTTACCAGTTGGATTGTGTTTGTATCTGTTCGTAGGTGCTAACATTGTTGAAATGTATTGTGTATGTGCATTATCTTTACGTAGATTGCTCATTGATGCTTGTGTACACATTTATCTTTATTGAATGGAGAAAATGTGTTTACTACACTGGCACTCTGCTTGCTACTTATATTTTTGGTGTTGGTCGCAACATAATTGCAAAGTTTAACCTCAATCATTGAGTTTGTACGTGTTTTTAGCTCGCCTTTTAAGTATACAATCCTACGTGGATTTTTTGTAAGCCAAGATTCATTCCTTTCGCCTTAATGGGAGAAAATATTATTCCACAGTTAAGTAGCACTTGGCATACCTAGAAATGGGTTAAGAAGGTGTTTTAATTTAACTTTCTAAATAGTAATTCCAAATAAGTTTAGTTCTCATTGAGTCGCTTTTTTTGCTTCGCTTACAAGTATTTAAATGTCATCCAACGGTATAGTTGTCGTGTTAGGCTTTGTGTTTAAATGAACTATTCAATGTGGCCTATGGCCTACACCGCTACAGGAAGTATCTAATTATCCATGTAGTATACTTTAATACTGTTGTTTGAGCTCGGTTTTAGTTGTCACACAAATTTACCCTTATAATCACACTGGAAATCGTAGTTTGTAGGATATAATCTAAAATATTCAGAAACAAATGATTTGATGGAAAATCTTGGTGAACTTAGTGCTTCTTATTCCTTTACTTCCTTCCACTTACAATAACGCTCAAATTCTAGTCGCCTGTCAATCCTTATCCTTTTTTTTTTTTATTTTTTTTTCTAGCATGTGATTCATTCCTCATAAAAACCTTTTGTCTATTTACATTGAGGGACCGAAAACTATTCTGTGTCCAAGAATTGGTTCTTAATTTTGGATGTTCCTTTCACATGTCCTTCGTCAGTGACATTTCCCTGTTTATAAATTATGAAACCTCACCGACTAAAGTCTTTCCATCAAAGATAATTCTGTTTTTCAATGCAAGCTGCTCTCGTTTCGAAAAATCGAAGATTTGGTGCGAGTCCAAATCAATGGAGTACTTTTAATTTGTACAGAAAGGACACACATCATTTATTATGGATTATGGTCCCCTACATTTCACATATGCAACACGATTCCCACTATTTTCTGCTTGTTCCCTTTCCAATTATTCAGTTGTTATTGGCTCGAACATTTTATACAGGTACACGTTATGTTCTATCTTAACTTTCTGTCTAGTAATAACCCTGTTTTGTCTTTATCGATGCTTTCCGAACGAGATAGAAGAAATGTGATGTATCAGATGTTCTTTTGTCATGCAGCACGTGAGTTTTTGCTTGCATGTATCTTTCGGGGCCAAATATTATGTTCCTTCCTCAACCGCTTTATAAGCTTTGCTTTTCTAGGCTTTTTTCCTATACACAACAATTCTTCATTTAGTAATTTTCTTGATGATGAAGGGCGGTTTAGTTATTCTTAAGGCTGTGAGGAAAATTCTACAGAAAATCCTTACAACATCCATTCAGTATGATTTTGGTGAGAATATCTCGGCCGAGGCCCCACCTGAAGATGTAAAAGAAGGGCATTTTGCTGTTTATACAGTTAATAATGGTGAGTGTAGAAGGTTTGTAATAGAACTGAGTTATTTGGCTCACCCGGGTTTTCTTAAGCTATTAGAGCAAGCTGAGGAGGAATTCGGTTTCGAACAAACGGGCGTTCTTGCTATTCCTTGCCCGTATACGGACCTTCAATCTATCGTAGGAAGCAAATGTGTAATGGTTTGAAGTTTACCAATGTTCTTTCGACATGTGCTTATGATGATGTCGTTATTATATGCATGTTGTTGATACTGATCTTAGACATTGTACGGAATAGGAAATCCAAATTTCCTATTCCAAATTGCGTCGTGATGACTCGTTTGTACTTTTTATGTTTTTGGTGTTACTATTAGGATTCTTGTATCTACATGTTGTTCCAAGCTATTATTGTTATGGCTGCTACAAAATGAGCACTCTCTTAGTTAATGCATGTAAATTTTCTTCATGCTGTAGATTGATGTATTCTGTTTGTTTCACTTCAACATATATATCTTGATGTTTGATTGAACTGATGTATAATTATTATACTTCTGTAAACCAGTTGGATTTGTAAATTAGGCAGACTGACCAACCAAAAATACATATGACAAACAGTCATTATTATTTATTTATTTGTCATTGTCATATAAATAAACAAAGTATATTACGAACACAATATTTTATTTTCGTGTAATAATATTATTATACTTGAAACAGAAAAGGTTAAAAAAGAATTTTTTTTTTCTGCTGTTAATATTTCGGTTGTTGTATCCTTAAATTTCATGGGCCCGGACTTTGGTGGGCAGTAGTTATTTGTCACCTAAAGTTGTACTAAATTTCCAGGCCCCCCCGAGCGCGAGAGAATATGGGCCGTCGTCGGTGATTGAGTAGTCAAAGCTCAAGACAGCTTTTTATTTATATGCTTATATATTTTTGTTTATGTAGATATTTATTTATTTTATTATTTCAATTGAGTTTGGCTAGAAAAATCAACACTCATCAATCATTAATGATAAGGATGTTATCTAATAACTCTTGTTTAAGTAGCCGGGTCTCTTTGGATCTCCAAATCGTGCTTGACATTCTCATCTGAGTACTTGAAAAAACGTCGAGATGGTTCCCGACGAAGAACTTCCGACGATCAAGTCAGTCCCTCTTTCATGTATAATATGTATATGATAATGAACAGAACGTACCATAACAGTAATCATACCTCCACTTTCATAAGAGAATAGTTACCTTGTTTCTCAAAAGATCTACTTTCGTAGGAAAACCACATAAAAATGTACCTTCTTGTAGTAGATCTTCTTACCTACTTTGGATTTGTTTGGATTTTTTGGTTTGGTTTGGTTAATTTTGAAAAAGGTGGTATGGTTAGTTGTTAGTGGGTATATTAAAATACTATATAAAATAAAATAATTAAAGTTGATTTGATGTAAAAGTATGCGAGAGAGATTTGAAGTGATGGTTAGTTAAAATTATGTGAGTTAATGAATAGTGAATTAAAGTTGATGTGATGTGTAAGAATGATTAGTTGATATTATTATAATGATAGTTGGGTTGAATTAAAGTTGAGTTAAAAAAAGTAGTTGAGTTAAAAATGTTTGGATTTTTTGGATAAATTTTTTATCCAAGCATCCTCTGGATCCTGATAATCCTAACTTCATTAGATGTCACACGGTTAACACCTCTGGCAGCTCAGTAGGTTGGCCCGAAGCCACCCTCCGGAGCTAGATACGCCATCATACCAACTCGATAGCTGAGGTATCAGGTCACCTGGGTCCCAGGTCGATAACTCGACCTATATCCTTCAAGAACCTACCTCGACCTATCACCTCTAAGTAGAGCTAAGGGAACTTCGATGTAGAATCGAGTTATGCACGAGTACAGGTTCATGACCCAACTCTCTATACTATATCAACTACTCCCCCTCTTTGTCCACAACTGCTCTGGTGTGTGTGGGAACAAGTCGAGAAAATGCGCCAGACATTAATTTAATGCATGTATGTCAGAAAGGCTTCCCAATCCGCACCAGTCGTTGCAAAACGGTGCACTCATCTCTGACGCTTCATATATTGAGGCGTCATATACACCATTGAAATTGAAAATACCACCGTGGTTCGACCTATTCCTAGCTATTCGACCTTTGACCTAGCCAGTTCAGCCTTATAGGTACATTCACCTACATTTTATCACGGCGACCTCATTTGAACCATCCTCCACCAATACATGGGTATGTGCTTTTGATTTGCTTCCCAGTTTTCTTCGACCTTAGTCAAGTCTTGCTTTTATCATTTTCGTAGTCGATCCCTACTTTATTGTTTCTTCATCGTTTGTTTTTTCGATCACCTTCACAATGTCTCGCAAAAAAGAAAAAATTGCAATTTTGGTCCACTAATTTGAATTGTTTTCTATTTTTGCCCAGTAACTAATTGGGATTCAAATCAGTACTCATAAACTTTAGTCAATTTGGTAACAATTAAACTTCTCAAATACCTAATAAATATCCCCAAATCAGAATCACTAGCGTCACCATCGCCGACGAAAGAAACCAGCAATAGGCCAACGACATGGCGAACGGCGACGAAGGCAGACACAACGGCAGCGTAAACTTAGGCGGCGCCAACGACAGGTCGAGGGCTCACTTTGCCCTTATTGGGGTGAAGAGCTCCATACATGAGTAAAACGAGCAGACGATCCGTTGGCTTCTTACCCTTACCCAACACCATTCTATCATGTTTTCCCTCCAATCTCCTGCTCGGATAGGACCATAGTTGTCTCCAACAAACTACGGTCCATCTACAACAAGGTCACCGACCTCGAGACGTAGTCTACCAGTGAGCTAGCTACCTTGGCTAACATATCTGCTCTAGCATTTTACGCTCTAGGTATTTGGACTACCTCACATGCCAAAAACCCCTTCAAATAACTCTAGAATGGTTCGCACATACTTTCTCATTCTATCCTCCTTCTATTTGAAATCCCCAATGCACGCTACTCTGTGAGCAGTGAAGTAAGGACGTAGTTTGCATACCAGTGTAATCAATGTTAGCGCGACCTTCTCAATGTTGCTATATCCGGACTCCGCTCCTTGCAGTAGCTGACTAGTACAGTAAATTGGCCTTTGAGAGCGTCTTTTCCTCCTTCAGTAGAACCAGGCTCACCACCACGCGACTATTTTGTATGTGTTTGTTGTTATTTTATGAGCTTTTGAGTGATTTATTTGTGCTCGTTTTAATTTATTTTAGGTTTTTTCTGGTCTATTTAGTAGTTTTTGTTTATTTATGTATTTTCATGTCGTTTTTGTATTTGTGCATTTTGTTTCTATTTTTATATTTTATTTTATAAGAAAAATGTGCTCTGGAGAGTCAACAAGAAATCCATTATAAAGTGATGGAAATTCGACCGAATGAGCATGAATTTTTCTAGGAAGAGCCGAGCGCCCGACGAGATCGATCCAAGCACCCAACAGCGAGTTGAGTGCCCAGCGAGATCGAGTCGAGCGCAGGCCAACAACGCCAGCAATAGGCCCTTCGGAGCCCGAGTACTAGTCTCTGGAAGAGCGCCCGTGCACACGTGAGCCCTGTGAGCACAACAGTGTACTCGTCCACCAAGCGCCTCTCGCAAGCTAGCGATTTGCTGAGCTTGCCTACGCCTACACTCGTCTGGTAATGGAGATTCGCCAGCTCCACAAGCCAGGCACACTCGCCCAATGGAGGTTCGCCAGCTCGAGAGTGTTGCCAAGCAGCCCTCCTGCACACTCGCTCGCCCACGACCATTCTCCAGCCCGCAAGTGTTGTCTATTAAATGTATATTTTCAGTGTGTATTTTGGCTAGTAGTATAAAAACATTTGTCATTTATACTTTCTTGGAGAACTTTACCTCATTTGCTAAATGTCTCTTTTCAGTTTTCTCTCTCTCTTTGTAATTTTCCCTATTGGAAAACTAAGTGCTCAAAGATTCAATTTTTATTATTTTAATCTCCGTCAAGGTTACAACTTTCTGGCTTATTTCTACTCGTAGATACTTTAAAGACTTGGAGACTTAGTCTAAGGTTCAAGATCTCGCAAGTTACTTCGACTTTGCTTAGTTATATTTTTCGGACATTTTTGTGAGTAAAGTACGAAACTTTCATTAGTAGAGTAGGTTATCATCTTCGAAAGTAGGAATTATATGATTTTGCAGTCGTTCGTGTTGCAAAAATTAATTGATGTTTGAGACTGGTTGATCGAGCAGTGACGATTTCTTGATTTCCTAGTTTTCGAACCTTCGAGTGTCCTCTTTTCACCTCGGGTCTTAGGGTTCTTATTTATTTTTCTTTTTGCTCTTCTTTTAATGCAACTTAAGGATTTGCTTACACTTGATTTTGCTTTTGCATTCATCAAAGCTTCCAATTACGTTCACATTGGTTTTACACAGCCAACAAACTTGCGAGTAGACTTTATTTTTCCTTCTTTTCGTAGTCAATAACAATTTCAAGCAAATGCGTTATACTTTTTCTAGCTATTTGATGTTTCCTTGTCCTCACTATTTTTTCCCGTTTATTTTCATATTTTTATAGCATAAAATTTTCTGGATTCCACATCATTTCAACCACCCTCGAAATCAAATATTATTTAGAATACTGAATAAGGGAAGAAACTGTAATTTCATTCATTTCCATTTTCAAGTTATTATTATTATTATTATTATTATTATGTACATAAAACTTACATGACTGAAGATATTTATTTTCATCTCTTATTGAAGAGGTCCAAGAGATAAGACAAAGTCAAACTAATATAGTTCTTTAAGTGCTTCAAGTGATTTAAAGTCGACTGAAATCAACATTCATCAACAAATAAATGCACGGCTAAGTCATCGTAAGAAGAAATACTAGTAAACCTGTACTCCAAATAAGCCGTCACAAGACTTTAGGCCATTAAATAGAGAACAAATTAAATAAAAAGTAAAATGATCACGAAAAATAAAAAGAATCATGGGAGTTTATTATAAAATATTAGAAATGCAGATGGTTGTTCCTTTTTTATAAGCTTATTTGGTAAAAAATAAAAAATAAAAAATTCTACATATATCATCGTGGACTATTCAATTAATGCATTTTTTTTTAGATTTTTCGCCCAATTTTTTAGTTAATTATAGTGATAAATCGTTGCAGTTTTAGATTTTTTTTTCTCCGAAACGATAGATGTACTATATTAATAAAACCGCACAAAGTGCGAAAAGAAAACAGGCAAAAACTGAATAGTACAACCAGAGGCTACAAAATTGGGAGGTCGATCCGAAGATCACCTATAACCGTCTAGCAACGCTAGAATGCAAAACTCACAACTACACTAAAACAACTAACACAACCAAAAAACTAAAATAAAAAAAATGATCCCAACAGGATAATGCCCGAGTGTAGGATCCCAACAGAATAATAAGTTTACACCCGGGCTCATAGAGGCCAAATGGCCCAAACCAAAAACACAAGCACAATTAACTGGAGTGTAATTATAATTTTTTAACTATTCCATCATAAAGTTCACACTAAATAATATATAAAAGATATATGAATATAAAAAATTATTGCAAAATTTTTTGTTTACACTTTTTTTCTAAAATAAATAATATTTATTTCAACTCATTAAGTATTTCTAAAATTAACTAATTAGTTTAATAATATTGCCAAATCACTTTAAATTACATAAACAAATTTTATAATAATAGTAGTAGTAATAAAAATTTTATTCAAGCAATATAGCCACTCATATATAGTTATATAATTTTATGTTGTTCGTTTTTCCTAATGACAGAATTTTAAAATGTGAGGTCATTATCTAACTTATAATTTTAATATAATACATACATATAACTGAATATATTTTATTTATATTTATGCATGTGCACTACTTGTTTTATAGACCAAAGCCGATTATGAATTCGAATATATCACAGGAATAATATGTGTTAGTC